GTAAATCATTATTGTAGGTTTTGTCATATGTATGAATGCATCTGTCTGTCATGAATGGCTTTTATTCTTTTGTAGAAATGATCAATCGATTGAAGCCAAAACGATATTCAAACAAATAAGCGAACACAATTAGCTACTTCAGTAAACAAGTCAATAGCTTCGTTGTACTATTAATCACTTTATCCTTTTTTTTTCATTTTTTAAATTTCGCTCTATTTATTCGTGACATTCTATCTTTTTTGTGATTTCATTACAATTTTTTCGGACGCTTACGAGAGAGAAGGATAACGATAACATATAGAGAACAGAATACAGAGAAAAGAAAACAAACAAACATGAGAGGCAGTGATGACGAATCCACGTGTATTGAATTGTTTTTTCTTTCTTGACTATTCTTCCATTGTCGAATATCCTTGAAGCTTAAACATCGCACCAGGGAAGGAATCAAACCTTCTTCTATCTGACTAAATCATATGCATAGAACCACTATACTATCTCTGGCATCACATTTATCTTTTATATTTTCGCACATGCATAAAAACACTTGTATATCAAGAAAACAGAATAAATTTCAAAATCATAATCATACGTAGAAGAATACCTTTTCCATCGAATAAAAGAATGAGGTGGGTGTGGGTATGGGTGGATGTGAGTGTTATTTTCCTTTAATCCACATTCACACAACCGACACCCACACCCACACTCACTACATTATTCAGTAAATCTTTTTCCAGGTATTTTATTTTGCCTATGCTCCACAACTCAAATGACTTTGGTTATTGACGTCACCGGTTATTGACGACAACAACAACAACAACAACAACAGCAATAGCATACAAGAAAATAACCAAAATCTCAACTACCAATCAAACTCACGACAAGAATATGCAACATCAGGTTATGGAACTCGAAGATAATAACGAATTAACACCAGGAAAACGCCTCATCATTCATCGAAGACATAAAAAACGACTAAGAAATAACCATCGACATATTCATGAATTGTGGAAGCATACTCTTCATGAAACAGACGTCATCGACACTGGTCTAATCGTTGGAACTTATTTGAATCCCAATTTAAAACATGAATTGATAGCACCAATAAGGAAACTTACTCCACGTGCGAGGGATGCCCAATGACTGAGGACTAGGAATTCTTCATTAGTTCTCCTACAGCTCCTTGCACAATAAAGATAAAAATATGGAATATTCTCGATAATTTTTGTTCTTACACTCATTTTCACTTGAAAAATTGTGAAAATCAATGATTTCATGCAAAAATTATTTTTAAAACAGCAATATTGCAACTTTCGTAAATGGTGGAACTGTAAGGGAACCTATAATTGATTCCCATTTCCTCTACGAATTATCACAGCGACACTAACAATTCCTCGATGCATTAGGAATTCTCATTTCTCAGTCCTTGGACATTGCTGACGGTGTAAGGGTTTATTATTCCACTCTTTTTTCTTTACAGTGTAGAATAAGTTCAGAGTATAATTTTCCTCAAATATTGAAATGTAATGATTATCATTATCAAATATTGATGCATAATCATTATCCTCATCAAATAACAGCACATATTCATGAATATCAGCAAATATTGGCATATAATCATCTGAATAGTCATGTCCGTATAGTTAATCCAATCGTTGAATAATATATCATAATAGACAAGACAGTGATGGTTCTAATTCATCATCAGAATCATTGGTACGTACGCTGTTGAATGTGTTTTACCATGTATAAAAAGAACTACTACAATATTTGATAGCATCCTTAGTGAAAGTACTCGTCCAGTGAGCATGACTCTGCAGCGTGAGTACTCAGATGACTCAAATGATTACTCGATGAATTTTATGTGTAACAATACTTTTCGTGTACTATGACGAGTACTCCAATGGATTTTCTCGCTAAGAGTTACTCGTACACGAAAATACGAGTACTCGAGATAGCACTCATTGTCGTTTTTTCGAGTGAATTCAGCAAACCATCTATGTACTAAGATGTATGAAAATAAAATAATATTGCGTAATTAAGAACAACTGTATAATGAACCGAAAATTTGGAAAAAAAAACTCTTTAAACAAATTATCAATTTCAGCTTTCATATTTTATGATGAATCACTCATGTGCCGTAGTCAATTGGGTATTTAAAGCATAGAAAAATGAATTCATTTCATTTCAGCTATTCACCTCTCGAGTAAGACTAAATATTTTTTTGGAAATGCAAAATTATTTGATAAATTTTATATCTTAAACTAAAGATGAAATATCGTTTTCGATAAAGCTTAATTATTTATTTTTTGAAAATTAATGGACAACAAGGCGAATGAGGAAAGTTTTTCAAAACATGAAATTCAATATTTTGAAGATACATCTATCATACAGAAGACAGTCCATACATTTTTTATTTGTTACTTAACGATAATAGTTTTCGGTTTAAGATGTTCATACTTATTGCAATGATATAAACTGGATGTGTATTGTTATCGCGTATCTTAATTCGATCTATAATTTATTTCTCGTTTGTGTCTACATATGTTGTTATACCCAGGTCGACGAAAACGGATCCTGTATACGGTAGTTTACGATCGTATTTTCGCCGTATTACATGGCACCGTATTACGGTCGTAAATCTCCGTGACCGTATACGGCGAAATACCGAACAATACGGATATTGTGTACGGATGATTTACGACGGTAAACCATCGTATTGTTACCGTGTCTAGTGCTGCGTTCTTCTGGTTTTCATCGAAAAAAAACAATAAGAAATTAATTTCTTGCAAATATGAGTTCTCTATTCACAGATATCAACGTGTGCAAATGAAATCAAAATCATAAAGAAGACGAAATAAAAAAAGTCCATAAAAAATGTTCAGGAAATACAAGTAGAAATAGTCATAGATAGAAAAAAAAGAGTTCAAAACACATGGAAGCGTTTTGTGCATAAAAGAGTACATCAGATAAACACATAATAGAAATAAGATACACAAAAATTATAGTGTACGAGAACATGATGTATAAACAAACTTTGAAAAGAAATGGAAGCTTACTGTTTATGAAAAATATTTTTTCTATTCTTCACCTGGTTGTGATTGTGTTGCTATTTGAGAAACGACTGATTTGGCTTGATTACGTACAATTGTGTTACTTTCTCGACGACGCTCTTCGACTAGAAAATCACTGAGTTTTGGTCGTAAATGATACTTAAAGAAATCGTCGTATAAGTGCTTTGATAATCGATATTTCACCCGGACAGCATCTAAAATGAATCAAACGTATTATTGAAATATGAAAAGTGTTAACTTACCATTAAGAAGAGCAAATCTATTTGAATCAAGAGGTTTTCGAGATAAATGAGGTCGACCAGGTGGTAAAATATGTGTTTTACGTTCTTCCTCTGAATATAGAACACGCATTACTTTACGAGCAAAATCACCAAAATCTCTTCCAACAATTATAACTAAATTTGTACCATTATGATCCTATAACATCAAAACATTTTTTCTCATAAAAAAATAATCTGGTTATAACTTACAACTTTGTCAGTAAAATTTTCTTGAGAATTTGGATCTCGATAAATATCGAGATTGTGTGAAGTCTATAAAAAGAAAATTTATTTCATAGTATTTGTGTTCAATAGCTGTATGTACTATTTTATTTGAATATGATGCCATCTGACGCATCGAATGACTCATTTTCTTCATACATTGATTGAAATCGTCCATTTTATTTTCAATTGACTTTAAACGATCATCTAAAGCGTCAAAAACAATAACAATCCTAGACTTTGAAGGTTAAAATCTTCACTTACCTTTATTTGATAAATTCTTGCATTTTTTGGGTGCTAAGCATAATGCAATTTCCTCTTCATTATCTGATCCATTATCAATATCTACGAAAAAAAGATATCATAAAATTCTCATTATGTTCAAGTGAAAAATATGTAATTTATTTATTTCAGATTAATTACTCAACTTGACTTATATTTCGACCGATATCTATAGAAAAAAAGTTGGAAATATGAATAAAACAGAATTACTTTCGTCCAGAATTCGTCGCTTGAGTCGTTTTTTCGATTGAGATAAATAAGAGGATTGAGATTTTCGTTTTTTGTTAGAACTTCGATTATTAAAATTTTCATCAGGAGATTTTTCAGCTTCTAAAAATAAAATACATCTAATGCATAAAAATTATAACTTGAAATTCCTAGAACAGAATCCATTGATTGATCAAATTACTGTTTTACATAATAAAAGAAAAAGATATACACAAACTTCAGTAGCGAACAAAGTTATTACTGTTATATGACGTATAGACATATCACATTCATATCAAAACAAAACATTAATCTGTTTTTATTACTGAAAATATTGCTTGTTCATTTTTCAATTTTTTCAATATGATTTACTATAGTGTATATTATTACAAAAAGATGTAAGGATTGACATCAATATATATATACTTTTATTAAAAGCATCTTTAGTTGTTATCCTAGTGGCGCCTATGTTAATGATTTTTTTCAAATGAACTGTTATCTTCTCTATTAAAATAGTAGAAGCACTTGTGATTATATTATACAAGGCTTAATATTTATTTTTATTATGACTCACCAGATTCTTCACCGAAATCTTGTATTTTATTGTTTTCTTGATCTTTCTCTACTGAACGAGCATCTTCATCCAATTGACAATTTTCCGATTCACTTTCATTACTATCTATTATATTATATTTAAAAAACTTTGAGAGACACAATGCAAAAAACAATAATGATATTTACCTTCGTCCATTGATTGAGAAGTTTTTTGTATTTTATTTAATTCGGTTTGACAACGAACAAAAGTACCTTTATAAACATCACATACATATTTCTTTTATGATATTTCTGTTACATAATAGTTACCTGAAACAACAATTTCTCCAACAAGTTTCTTTTTATTGATTATTAACGATGCCATTTGTCCTTGTATATATTTTATGCTAGTACGTGCAACAATTAGAAATGATACTGTATCTTCCATATAGATGAGATAATGAGTTGGTAGTGATACAGATGCTGTTGAAGGTGAAAACACTTTGCGTGGATTTTGTGAACGTTTATCCCGAGAAAAAGTAGTTGTAGTTGCCATCATAAATTTTATAATATGAAAAAAAGTAAAACAATAAACAAAAGTTCGATTATTTTTGAGTTAAACAATTAAATAAAACAGAAAACAAACAAGAAAAAGATGTTTAGCTAATCAATCATGTTCACCATAAGCAGATATTGGAGTTGCAATAATACAATTATTCATTTGGAATATAATACAATGGTTTCTTATTAAAGCTATAGGTACACAATGTACTGCTAATGATTCAGAACAAATTACATGAAAGAAGGTATCTATAGATTTACGTAATAATTCATAATAAGAAGTAGAAACAAAAAAATTACTAAATTTTTTTTAAACTTCATGATGATCAATTACAGCATATGTTTTATTATTTGATGTAAAAAAATATCGAATTTTACCAAAACTGGGATCTCCTTGGTTTGTGTAATATTGAACAAGAAAGCTGATAGTTGAATTTCGACGAGTGTAAATGAGTGAATGATAAACATTTTTATCTATTACACATCGACGATAAATACGTAAGCATTGATCAAAATTACCACAGTTGCAAACCGTAAGATGATGCTGGATGATATCATGAGTCATACTTGATAAATCTGTTTGGTCGAACAGGCCATCAATATTTTTTTCATCAGTTGCATCGTGTGATGACGCTTTATTTCTTAAAGCAAAATCGATCTAAAAATTAAATGAAAATAATAGAACAAAAAAAAAACTAACTTCGTAATAATAAGTTATAAGTTGACCATGAAAACGTGTACCATGATAGTTTTTACTTATACTTCCAATCAGATCCTCCTGACCAAAAGTGCCCAAATAACATAAACTTCCATGCTTGTCAAACAGTTGATCGAAATGTACATGAAGATGAAGAACTAGATTGTGCAACTTCTCAAAATAAATGGAATGATCTTGATAATATGTTAGAAAAAGTTCTTTTGACATTGAACTGGATTTGTCACCGAAACATTTTTTTCCATGAATGATCTAAATAAAGCAAAATTTTATCTAGATATTGAAAATTCTTCACACTTACTCTAATCGAACATACATATAACGACAAATGAGCCAATTGTTCTTTTGGTAAAAATGGAGGAAGATGTGGTATAAGAGCATATAACAATAAATTTCTTAGTTCAGTAGCTCTAAAACGAAGGTCAAATATGATTTTTTTTCTAAAACTTTAATTTATTTGTTGAACCAGCTAGTATTAATCTCATTGCTGCTCAAAAATTTTAAATTGTCAACTATGAAGAAAGAAATACTTGTTTGAACTATATCGTATCAATATTAAAAAAATTGATTATTTTTAATAAATACGTGTTCTTTTAAACAAAGTTTGGAATAACTAAATAAAGCGCCTCGAAAATCATATTATTGTATTCAAAAACATTTTCTATGAACTAAACATTTAAAAGTATTTTTTATTATTGTAATGTTAAGATAAAATTATACACTTACTTGACGAACGCCAAGTCGCACACGGCTCGAAGTTTACGATTGAAAAAATGAGGAAATCTTTGACCACGTAAACCTGAATCAAATTTTGTTCTTTCTAATGGTGATAATTGTGCGTAAACCTGTTGAATGATGGCTCGAGTGTGACGTAATAAAGAAACGTGTAAATAGTCGACGATAATAGAATTGGGAAGTGGTACGTCGAGAAGATCGTGAAGTAACGATCGACCTAAATGTCCGTAAACATTACTTGAAGTTTCAACAGCTCTGATCGATTCTAATTCATAAGTTCGTTTTGTTCGAAGCTGCATGCGATTTTCAAAATAGTATTGTCGCTTGCCACCACGACCACCAACATGAATACCATGAATATAACAATAGAAGCAACAGTGATAACCAGTATGACCAATAAATTCTAAAATAACTTTGAGAGCCGGGCAATCGCCAATGATGCCATAAAATAACACTTGACACTTGCTGTCGTCGCTCAATAATATTCCTAAAAGTAAAGAAATATTAACTATTCTGTCTCCAAAAATGACTGAAATGTAAAGATAAAACTTCTATAAATTTCTATTTCTTTCTTGAAAATATAAAACATATATACTCTATTACTCTATGATTATGATGTATCGATGAATAATTTTCTGAAATATAGTAAGATACTGATAAAAATTATGAAAAGATATTTTGATTCATCAGTTTCTTTTCTGTTAAATAAACCTCGAGTACTTTTTAAGCATGAATTCGTTTGTTCATCTTTCTTTTTAAATAGAGATTGCTTCTCTAATATTTAACTAGATGCTATTGTCGAATTTTACATTTCATAAATATCAACATGAAGTCTTGTTTCATTCACGATACATTTAATATTGTTGTTGTGGTCATTTAAATTCTGATAACATATTGTACAAATCGATCTCTTCACAAATAATTTTTCAACTAAAATTTAAGAAAATAAATATATTTTAATCTTTAATCTTTCTTTGATTATTTGTATAAGTTCTTGTAAATAATATTATAAATCTGTAGTCTCTGACATCTTCTCAAACAGAAATGACAACGATAGATTTCAATGTCTCATTTTTCAAAGAAAAAAAAAAGATTTTCATACAAAATTAATTGTTTACCAAGATACAGTTTCGGCTTTATTTTTTAAGCCCAAAGAGAAACTTCTTGAATAAAAATTAAAACGTTGTTCTTTACCAAAATAAATTGATTGAAAAACTAATTTCAAGCTATTCGTATGCATGTAAAACGTAATTGAAAAACATTCACCTAGACATATTTTATAAGATAAAGATCTCTTTTCTTTCAAAAAAAGTACTTCTCGTTTTTCTAATTTTACCTTGCATTTCATTCAACAAAGCTTTGGTTGACTTCTGCATATGGTTTGTTGTTGGCAAACCGGAAGAAATAAGTTGAATAAATCTGTCACAGTGAGTTTTACAAACATTTGCATCACGAAATAAATTAAGTAAAGCTTTACAGTATTCATTCTTGGTAACATTCGTTAAATTATGTAATGATATATCAGGTTCAGTGGTAAATAGAGAAAAATCAAAATATTCATCTAATGTCGTAAATGATTGTTCATCGACACTCACTTCACTAATATTATCATATACTATTTCATGAATTGATAATTCAACTATATCATTTGGTACTGTTTCCTTTAAAGATGAATCAGATGTATCATTACATAAAGATAAATTTCGTGAGTCATCAATACGGATAAAATTTAAATCTACATCGTTTGAGCTAAAAAAAAGATGATAAAATTTTAAAACTATTATCGAATTGTAATTACAACTAACCTGTTTGATGATGCAACCGATAGTTCAAAAGGTTTTGTATCAAGAATATTACGTCGAGCATATGTAAGCGCACGTCTTTTAGTACTTCTTCGATTTAAATCATCATTATGTTTTTGTTTACTTAGTTTAAGTGACGATAAGATACTGCGTTCCATCAGCTTACTGCCCAAGCAACAAAATCTAAAATCAAATAGAAGGATATGATAAAGTATCTAAAAATAAGTATATTACTAAAGCATAAATTTGAAGTTTATTAAACTATAGACTACTTGGTAATCCTACTTGATAGAAATTATTAGATCGATTCCAAGTTATAGCATACGTAGATATGACATTCCAATAGACTAGTACGTATTATCGTCGAAGTCGTGAATTAGTAATTTAAATAAATGAAATGAACGAAGCGACAATAATGCGCATATGTATATATATATATATGTTTTTCTTTTCTTTTCTTTTCTTTTCTGTGTCACTCGATTTCTTTCGCTATGTCCAGGGAGATATAGATATAACGGCATTGTTCTCTTCCGTCCATCGAATATATCTCTTTTGTATTCTCGTCGAAATATAGACAGTGCCCAAAAGAAAAAAAAGAAAAAAAGAAATGCACTAGACTCGAGATTTAGCATCTGGGAAAAGAATCGTCCTCTTTTGTGACACATGCTGACGAGCATAAGATTGTGTTTTGACAAAAAATGCAGTTAATTTCTCACAGCAGTAATTTCTTCTGAACGTAGACATAAAAGTGATTAAATATCACGCACTCGGATCGTAAACCATCGTATACGGGAACACACGGAGACTTACGGTCTTATACGGTGGCCGTAAAACGTCGTAACTCGGCGTATACAACTCTATGGATCTGCTATCCATAATTTTTCACCATTATCGTATACGGAATCCGTTTTTCACCGTTATCTACCGTTTACTACTATCGTAAACGGAGCTTGTTTACGATTCCCGTTTTCTGTCGTCTATCCCCGTAAACGATCGTTTACGACCGTGAATGTTCGACCTGGGTATTCTCAATAGAGATTTTTATTTAGTTTTTCTTGCATTCTGTTGATAAATGTTCTATCTCTAGGTCCTAATTAAATAGCATTTTAAGATTATAAAACAATTCGTTTCAGAAATTTTTATCATGTACGTCACTGTTCTATCATCAGTTTTTAAATAAAATAAATTGAAAACAGTAGAAAGATGCAAAACAAAATATAGATGCCTGATTATTTTACAAAAGTCCATCAGAGTACTCAGGAAATGTACGATGAGTACTCAAACCCACGAGCACTCATGAAGTCTCGCGGCAATCTCTAGCGTGAGTACTTTTTGAGTACTCGCTGGGGGTGTACATTCATTTGGGATAGCATAAATGATTCAAAATAAGACAAACGATAATAAAAGCGAAACGATTGAACATATTAGTAAACTGTATTTCTAGCCGCTTATTAGAAACGAAATAATCAATATTGAATTACTTTCTTTTAATAAACACAGGTGACTTCAATTTTCCTTTTTAGTATTGAGCATTTTCGAAATATTTAATGTGCAATGCGACTGGTAATGTACAGTAGTGGCCCGATCCTCTGAACTTTGCGAGAGATTTTTGTCCGAGGTGTTGTGTGCTGAAAAAACACATCCTTTTAGTTGTTTGGCTTTATATATATACATAGGTTTATTACCGAATCTGTATTCATGTAAAGAACCTTTGGGCTTTCGTATCAGTTTACCGAATCTAAAAAAATTTAGTAGATTACTACCTACGCGTTTCTAGGGTCAGTAAAGGGATACGAAACCCCAAAGGTTCTTCACCTGGATACAGGCTTGGTGTTGTATACAGAGAGCATATATTGAAACAGACGAAAGACATTCAGAAGTAGAAAAATAGAACGAGTAATAAGCAAGACATGAACCACTGATGCTCCGAATTAATTAGAAATAGGAACAAAACCAGAATCTTTTTTAACAGAATCAGTGTTATGTTTTTTATCCATTTATTTTGGAATAAACGTTTTTCGATTCACGAACATCTTAGAAAAAAACAAAGAAATTCAATGTGACTGTTTAGGTGTCTGAAGAAGAAAATTGCGTTCGTACATAATTTTAAAAAGCTGCTCAATGTTTTAACGCCGACGGCGTTCACGCCCGCGACTATTATTCAAAGTTATGATTTATAGAGAGCATAATGAGTTAAATTGTCCTCACACTAAGTTTAAAGATGTCGAATGTGTCGTGATTTCCGACACAATGTACGACACATTCGAGTGCGACATATTATCTTCAGCGATGGCACAACATATTTTGTACGACACATCCGACACATTCTGAGAACGTTTTTTGAACCCACTAGTCAGAAATTTATTTTTATTTTTATCGAAAATATCATGATAATTTTTTCGATTTTGGTCTATTTGAACAGTTTCATTTCTAAAAACTCAAGCAGGTCAGATCTTGAGATCTGTACAGTCTCGAGTCGGTCCGGCTTTAAGCAGACCATTTTCGGGTAGTCCCATCTCGATCAATGACCAAGATAGGCATTCTTTCGACTAATTATTAATCAAGAAATAGTCTAAAAAATATTTAAATGAAAATACATAACTTTCGTATGTTCAATCGAGTTCTCTATATAGGATCTTTTACGCAAAAGAAAAGGGTGAATCGATATCGAGTCTACACGCAGAACGAGACAAAGTTTTTAGCGCCACTTTCTGTTGCGACATATTTTTGACACTGAACCTACGACACTATTACTCGCAACACATTTATGCGACACATTTTAATTTAGAGTGTCCTAGAATTAAGCGTCAACCAGTTAAAACCTGATTATCCTTCTGTAATGATACTATTTTCGGAACCGAAAATTCTGTTTCTGTATCGATTCTCTCCAAAACGTAAACTGTCATCGAATATCAGTTATGACATTCTTTAAGGATTTTGCCACCGAAGACGGCCATGCTCATGGGAATGATTCAAAAAACAAAGCTCTTCAAAGATAAAAAGCACCGTAAAATATTGTTAAAAAGAAAGATGATACAACTTTTTTTAACTCGACAATGATTGCATAGTTGATCTTTCTTCGCGAAGCGGAAACATTTTGAGTTTTACTTTATAGCTTCTTTCAAAATAATTCCATTTATGTTTATATATTTTTTTGGAAAGAGTTCGTAAAAGTAAATGAGACAAGGCTTTTTGAAAATTGCTTCCACCGACGTTTTAATTTTGAAACAAATTAATGCCTTTTATACCAGAGTGAGTGTTTTTTTAGACACGTTTGGACGACCATATATTTGAAATAGACTTCACAAAGAAAACATTGTTCAATAAAACAAACAAAACATTTATAAATAGTATCAAAATCTTGAGGGTGTGGGTGTGGGTGTGCATAAGTTTTCTCTACACCAAAACCCATACTCCTGCGCTCAAATAGAATAAATGCGTTGCCAATACGATTTTTCATCTAATGGGGCATTCTCGAGTAGTCATGGGCAAATTGTTCGTGAGATAACACCAAAATACTGAATCTATCCTTAAGGTAAAACAATTTATAGATCCAAACATACCTTCTATACTTGATTCAGCTTGCATTTTCTATAGATAATGCTACAGAAATCAAAAGATTTAGTTTCGTATGAAAAAGAAAATATAACATAAAATCTGGTTCATTTTCATTTTTTCAATTATTTAAAACTGTTATTATGAATACATCAAAAACATTAAAATAAAAACGAATTGTGCTAAAAAGCATATCAATATTATTATTTTAAATAATCGAAGGAAAATTAAATAATACTAATCACGTTAATCGAACAGACATTTCTTCACAAGTTACAAACCGTGAGCTTACGATTTTTTCCGTTCTTCTCTTAATGTATTAAATATTTTTTACATTTTAGAGATGATGATCGTTTGAGAAAAACATCGAGACTAGAGAAAAACATCGAATGCATTTTAAAATATCTTTTGTCGTATCTAATAAAATCAACAAATCGCTAGGGTGTGAATGGCTGTAACTCAAGAGAGGGCCAACACCCACACCCTCAAGGTTTGTTAAGATTATTACAATACTATATATGCTTCATTCATATCAATATTTATTGGGCTGTTCCATGGGAAGTCCACCACGAGAACACAAAGTATTTAAAAAATTTCTTTTTCCAGTTGGGTTTGTAGAGTTTTTTACGCTGATCATTTTGGTGAAAAAAATTTTGGAAAATCATTTAAGGAACATTTTTTTGCAAAAATAAAATAAAATCTTTTTTTACGAAAAAACTGTAGGTTTTTCAGTATTTTTGACCTAGTGACATGATTTCAAAACTTAACGAAGAAACAAAATATACCAAAATGTTCAGTTCAACGAGCTCTACAAACTAGGTATGTTTCAATTTTTTTGAAACTCTTTTCCAGTGATGTAATTCAGGAAAGGTGTTCAGAATCTAGGCCCCTTTTTCTCAAAATGGCTACACTCTGTTGAAATTCCAAATATAGGGTTCTGTAGAGCGAAGTGTTCTCTACAAGACCCTATGTTCGGTTCCCCGTTTACTATCAGAAAACTTGCGTAAATAACGCTGCAACTTTATGAGTTATGCTGGTCATGCTTAAAATAAGTTATTCGTGTGATCGTTTAGGAAACTTATATTGAACGTAAGCAATATCGTATTGCAAGTGCCTGAAGTGATCATCTCTCTCGTACAATAATTGTTTGCGGCGTGTTCACTTTTATTTCTTTACAAATCTGTATAAGAAATCGGAAATTAGTTATACATGAGACCTATTCGATAGTTATATAACCATGTCGGCATGATATGTTAAAACTATCTTGAAAAGTTCTGAATTTCTATAAATTGTTCCCTTGATAGTGTCAGTTGTCCACGTTTACCGATAGTCGGTTCAACTAACAAACATGCTATGACGTCTTGTAAATCAATATTCAGATTTTTTCTGAATTTTACTAAATTTGTATAATGCGATTGAATTGGAAACGGCGGCTTGTACGATTGGATCAGCAGATTTTCTTTCACCAAATCGACTTCAAGAATTTGAGCAAGATATCTTATATCATTGTGTTCGATTATCACGAAGTTCTGTACAGCTATGTCTTGAAATGTGTTAACTTGTCGTAATAACAAGAGTTTTTCTTCTGTCTTGTGTTCCTTTTGTAGATAAAATTTATCAGTTTCCATAGAGTTTGAAGTTCTGCGACATAACATGCAACCATCATTTTGCGGATCGAACTGATGATACGTTCGAATACCTTTGGCACGTCCTGATAGAAAAAAAATGAGTCTTAATTGTAGCTAAAGAAAGCTTTACCCCTAGTTTTATTCCACCGCTCCATAAGTAACTCTCTAGTGTTTCTCTCTATAGCATCACGCTGTAGAAAGTAAACATTGCTTGGTGGTTCATTTCTTTGGCTCGACTTTGCAGAGTCTTCGTTGAATTTCTTAGTAAATTTGAGAAAATCTTCCACTGACAAAAATACTGTACTTGAGTGAAGTACAGCCCGGTTAGCACTTGATTTAACAGCAGCACCAATGCCATCACATGGACCTTTGCCATGTCCACTGGCAGAGAACGTCCAAGACGCAAAGATAGCGAAATCATCTTGGTGATACAAAAGATTAATTATATTCGAATGATTTTTAAAGTGCGCTGGAGCACCATCACTAGAAATAGAGAAAGATCTAATAGAAGCTTTATCATTTCAGTTCAGTACCTTAAATAACTAATTTTTGTTACTTGAGGATAATTATTTCTCAGGAAATCCACTATACGACCTTGAGCGCAATGAACGAAGACTGTATCATGTCGCATGTAGTCGCTGATTAAGACCATATTTTTATGTTCATTTCCAACTTTAATGTGAACAGTAAACAATGTAACTTGTTGGTAATTCCAATGAGCTGCTTGTACCTCTCTTTGTCTTAAGAAAGTGTAATTCTCTGCAAAATCCATTTGTGCGACGGCATAAGATTGACAACTTGATTTAGTTCTAAGTTCATTGATGTAGGTTCTTTGCTCACGATTGATATAGCTGTGAATTAAGAAGTTTGACCACTTTTCATCGATTTCATCAAGTAATGATGCGAATATTCCACATATTTGATGTAAATCAACTTTCTTATCAGATGTTTTCCATAAAGACCAAGAGCATTTTTCATCGTCTTCACTGTCGCCCAATTCATGCCCTAGAATTAATGAAGGAGTAATACTATTACATTGATCACAAGTGCCTAAGAAGCAATCTTCAACAGGAGTGCCACAAATCACCAAATCGATTAAATTCGAAACTGTGATTTTGGTTAATTTTGTGTTTGCAAGTTGTTTCGTGTTCATGTAGTCATTAAATGCCTGTAGCATACGAAAAAAGGTTGTATTCTTATTTACTTGTCCATTAAAAATCCACCGGCCTGCAATAAGAAATACATATTTTCATGAACTTGGCACATGCATGTATCTTGAGGACAAGTTATTTTGACTTGACGTAGTCTAATACAGTAAAATATTGACTTTCCGATCTTGACTGTTGGATTATCTTCATAAAACGTTCTTAGAGCTTCTCGAATTGGCATTTCCATGAATCGAACAGGTACAAGTTCACCATTTATCTTCAATACATCTTTAGTATTAGATGAAATTCGACTGACACCATCTTGTAAATAGAATTGAACCACCGACACAATCGTTTCTTCGGCGAGAGTCATATTACCACGACAATATTCTGGATATGCTAAAACGTATTGGTCTTGGCGAAGTAAAATAGCTTCTCGAGCATGATGATCAGTTGATCCAAACCATTGTGATAATTCAATACGTCCCCAGTTATGTGGTGCAATCGTCATTAAATGTATTTGTTCTTGCCATGTACTTTGTTTAAAAAGTTCCTTTACGCCTTGTAAAATTTGATTCGATTCATTTATACTAATTGAATGAGGGTTTGGATCAATAACTTCATTGAAATCTTTATCTTCTAGTAAGCCGCATAGATATTGCATATAGCGATACACACTATCGACTTGCTCTCGAATCTTCTTCTGTCGGCGGCTATAACACGAAACATTTGTCCTTGTAAATACACGGAAAAGTAACTTACTCGTCACGTATTTTTTCCATATGAAGCACCATAAATACAGCATTGAGTTCTTCTTTTGCCGATTGTTTTACATGTAAATGTTCCTCAATGGATGGCGTACTGATATTTTCTGCAGCATTACTAAATTGATCATCATTCAACTGTTCCTCGAATTTAATATCCATTCGTTCTAAATCAAATGAATCGTCCAAAACATTTGATAACGATGCGAAACATTTTTGGCATAGCTTTTCGCCTACTTTCAAATGCGTAGACATCGACGATGAGTCGCATGTAATTTGACGATTTATAAATTAAGCTTGTTCTGCATTGATCACTCTTCGACCTTCAGGATTTGTTGGCCTTCATCCAGAGCGAGTACAATGAGCATGCGATGGATGAGGACACCAATCTCTTTTTTATACGGCATCTTTGAAAAGTATGACTAGAATCTCACTCGAAAGAAAAATTTCTCACAAGACAAGTTATGGAAGTGATTTATAATTCCAATGATAGATAGTAAAATATGGACTTCAAAGTGATATGACCGCTACTATTAATCCGGTTATTATTACTTACTATTCAGACATTATGTGACATCTAACATATTATTCACGATCCTCAATATGTATGATGTCACAATGCTTCGTAGCAACNTTATACGGAGCTCTTATAAGCGGCTTCGACTGTATATAGAATAGTTTGTTTTTCTGGTCAGAATTAACACTTACATCGTGTTTCACATTTTAATCCCGAAGGGATTGCGCTAACAGCTTTTTTCACCAAAATGATCAGCGTAAAAAACTCTACAAACCCAACTGGAAAAAGAAAATTTTTTAAATACTTTGTGTTTTCGTGGTGGACTTCCCATGGAACAGCTCTATTGTTTATTGATCGAACACAAGCAGTCTATTATGTTAGATAAATTGATTAGACAAGCTAAGGAAACAAAAATATTTACAATTGTTCCTAAAATAAATTTGTCATATTATAGTCGTTTGTTACTACATAGCGAATTAATTGAACACACACAAACAATAAATTATTTTCATACACTAAAATGAGTCGAGTTCAATTAATTGATATTCAAAAGGCTTTAAATTTTGGTATTATCATGAGCTAAAAAAATTCAAATCTATCATTCAATCATCAACTGGATAACCAATGAATAAATCTATGAAAAATACTGAAGTAACGAAAAATAAAAACTTTATCCAATTTTGTCCCATTCAAACCATATCAATCGTTTTATATTAGTCAAACAACACCATCGATTACTATGTATGAACTGATTATTGAAGCTAAACGAACGTTTATAAATTTCCAATCTATACCATATGATGATATGTTATTAGACATGCATTATCTTCAAATAAAACTTGTACAACAATCATTATCATCAATTATTACAACGATTCAATTTTTTCTTGGACATAATAGTTTATTTCCACAGATTGATGAATTGCTTTCAATTGTCTTTCATTCATCAGCAATGATACGAATAAGGGGTAACTTGAATCGATATTGGTTTGAATATCAATTCTTTGATGTATTCAATCAAAATGAAATTAATAAAAGTCATCTAGTTAATATTCAACAAACCTTTAAAATATGGTACAATATAACACTTTGTACATAATGCAAAATGTGGTCAGTTACTTGATTTCAATAATATAGATGGTCCATTGTGTACATATTCACATCGTTCATATAAATGTCGAAATGATCAATGATTTCTAAGACATGCTGTTGTATATGCATTTCATGATCTTCAGAGACGTCTAGCATTACAAAACTTTCCATTGCCATTCATGAAAAGTGGGATGGTCAAAAATGTTAACACTACATTAAAGAAAATCATATCAATAAACAAGTAATGATCTATATAAGGTACAATTAATTCAAAAATCGCACAAAATAGCCTATCGATATAATTTTATACGGTCCGATAGAGCTTAGCTAGTTGTATAAGTATATGTATATTAAACAATTTCAGGTTGATTTATTGAAAGAAAAATTTCAGAAAATTCAATTTTATTTTTTTGCTGGGCAAATTCTCAACTTTCAATAACGCTGGCGCTTTTTATTTATATTTTTAGTGTAAAACATTGAAAAAAAGTGTTCGTTAGATTCAGCGTGAAAAGCTGCATACAATAATGCAGTTTTGACGCTGTTCATATAAGATATCTCTAAAGGTTAATTGGGTCCAACTAAGGCCCCTAACGTATTGCGGTTGAGCCATGCTGCAAATCTATGTACTCTCACTAGATTCATTATTTCTGCGATTATTTTATGTCATTTAACTCGTCTTGATATAAGGAAAAGAAGTATGTATCCTTTTAATCATATGCCTGATCGTTGTTGAGAAAACTTATTTCTCCTCACTAACGATGAAATCGTAAAAATATTCAACTGTACTTTGAAAATTTCACTACGAACAATTCATTTTCAAAGAAATCGAACGTGATATTCGGAACCAGGATAAAAAAGCTGTATTTAAATAGTTACATTTTATCAAAAAATATTTTTTGCGAAAATTCCACCTGTAGGGGACCACAGGGTAAAACTGAATAGAAATAGTTGGAGGGGGGTAAGGGTTGAATTTTCGCAAAAAATATTTTTTGATAAAATGTAACTATTTAAATACAGCCTTTTTATCCTGGTTCCGAATATCACGTTCAATTTCTTTGGAAATGAATTATTTGTAGTGAAATTTTCAAAGTACAGTTGAATATTTTTACGATTTCATCGTTAGTGAGGAGAAATAAGTTTTCTCAACAACGATCAGGTAGGGTGTGGGTGTGGATGTGGATGTGTGACATCTTGTTTCATATCCACACCCGCACCTACACACCCACACCCGTATTACGTAGAGCTCCATCCACACCAGCAGATTTTTTAGAACAAGCACGACGTGAAGAAAATTCGGATCGTCTCGTTACTACATCTATTCATCAAACAAATGATAATGATATACAAGCAATAAATCACTCCAACAATTTATTGTATAGATCTACACAATCAGCTGAACCTATCCGTCATCCAAACTCATCTAATATGTATTCCGGAGGTTATTATACAACCGAATATTCACCTCGGCCGGTATATAATCGTTTTCATCATCAATCATCGCCACGTTATCCATCGCAAGCTCAATAATCTTCGTTTAATACATTACACTACTAATCGCGTCCTTTACGATGTTATCTATGCAATAAACCGGGCCATTTTGCTCATGATTGTCGATATGCAAAAAAGCTACTAAGGGAGTCACATGATGATAGTGACTCCCTCCCTCACGGTCATCATTATTTTTTTCATCAACATACAATCCCTATTCCGTACAAAAATCGAATATATATATCATCGATTTATTCCACATTTTCGCAACCGTACTAATCGTCACACAATAGTATATCCGACTTATTCAGTACCATATCGTAAATATCTTCCAATTTGGTACTCTCGACAGCATTTCATTAAACCTATCGAACAACGCCCTGTTATAAATCAAAATATTCACAAATCCAATCCATCATCAATTTTTTATCAATACTCTCATCAATGGATCACGTCTACGTGCTATGATAGATACTGGAGCTACTCATTCGTTTCTTACGCAAAGTGCATTGAGCACATTATATCATTCAGTAATACCATCATGTGATCGTATAGCTCAATTAGGTGATGGTCAAATCACGCTTAAAATCGTAGGTGAAATTCAATTATTATTACAATTTGATAAAGTTTTTACACGTTTAAATGTTCTCGTCGTCAAAACCATGAATACTGATTTTATACTTGGTAGTGATTGGTGTACTAGCAATGTAGCACGGATCGATTATGAAAACAATCAAGTGTCTATACGCTCATCAAATGGCCGTACATTTATGCCATATCACAAATGCATTGATTCTTTAACTCGAGATGTCAAATCAATTAATGTAATTCATATACCGCCACGAGAATCATATACAGTTCAAGCCAAAGTAGAATTATCATCAGCCGATACCGTCTACTTCTCGCCTGTTGATGTTACCCAATCTGATAAATCTATTATAATGTCACCATCGTTGTTACACATAAATAATTATACCACATATTTAGAAGTATATAATCCTCATGATTATGCCTGCACATTACCAATGAATACTGTTCTAGGTCGAGTAACACACACACTGTATCACGTACATTCATGCTTATTATTTGATACACCTCGTCGATCATCGTCATTATCTTATCAACATCCTATTAATAATGCAATTGAAATCGAACCAGCATCTTCTACAACATCCAAAACAATTGATCAATTACTTGCTCATATTCAAAATGTTCAGGATAAACAACAGTTACGTTTTATATTACAACAACACATAAAAATTTTTGATATGTCAAAGGTTACACAAGCCAACACACATATACAACATACTATTAACACCGGTGATAGTCTTCCGATTAGCTCACGACCGTACCCGCGAACAATCGAACAACGACGTGAACTTCAAGATGAAATTCAAAAGATGCTGCAAACTAATCAAATTCGTCCATCTAATTCGCCGTGGTCATCTCCAGTTATTATTTGCAAAAAGCAGGATGGTAGTATTCGATTTTTAGTGGATTATCGTAAATTAAACTCGGTAACCAAAAAAGATTCTTTTCCGCAACCAACAACTGAAGAATTATTACATCCATTAGGTGGTCATTGTTTTTATACAAAATTAGATCTTAAATCCGGTTATTTTCAACTTCCCATACACGAAACAGACAAAGAAAAACAGCATTTATAACATAAGATGGATTGTGGGAGTTCAATGTACTTCCAGAAGGCATTATGAATGGACCACCAACGTTTCAAAGGACCATGCATAATCTTCTTGGTTATGGACGCTGGGACTATGCTATGGTTTATTTAGACGATATTCTTATATTTTCTCGTAGTTTCAATGTACAAAAAAAACATTTAAATGAAATTTTATCAATATTAGCTAAAGCTAATTTTCAAGTCAATCCTGATAAATGTTGTATTGCTGTTCAAGAAATCGATTTTTTAAGTCATACAATCAATGAACAATTTATTAAACCGAATGGTAATAAAAGTACAGCTATATTATTTATCTACCAGTTCCAACAACACTCAAAGAAGCAAATGAATTTTTAGGCAAAATTAATTGGTACCGAAAATTCATTGCGGATTTTGCTCGTACAGCTCCACCACTACACAAAGTTACCCATAACACAAAACATCGTCGACATGAATTTAAATGGGGACCTGATCAACAACATTTATTTGATGCATTTAAACGTATTTTAGCAGCATATCCTTTATTTTTAGAATATTCAGATTTATCAACTTCATTTATTACGTTGAGGAAAAAGTTCGTGTGCCGTGTTAAAATAATGATTTTTTATATATTTTTTTGTGTTTTTGATCTGGTTTCGTGACTATTATGAAAATTTATTGATTTTTAAGATGCCTGATTACGAAATCACAAATTTTGAGCTTCGCGTATTGCTGCGTCATTATTGGCGAAAGAATTTGGATGCAAAAGCAGCTGCCAAAGCAATTTGCGACGTTGAAGGTGAAGGTACGGTGGCACCGCGAACTACAAAGAAATGATTCAAGCGTTTCAATGAAGGCGATTTGGATCTTGAAGACAGGCCACGTTCCGGACGACCAACGGTTTTGGACGAAGGAGACTTGCAAGCCGCTTTGGATGTTGAGCCGTCATCAAGCACACGCGAATTGGCTGAAGAACTTGGTGTCGATCAGAAGAAAGTTTAGAATCATCTCAAGCAGCTTGACTTTGTCCACAAAAAGCCACGACAAGATCCACACGAGTTGACTGAAGTGCAAACCGCAAAACGAGTCGAAATTTGCCGCCCATTGCTCAACAATCCGTTGGATGACCGTTTTTGGAAGCGAATTGTGACATCAAACGAGAAGTGGGCCTACCTGGCCAATCACGATCGAAGCAAGCGTTGGGTCCCAAAAGGTCAAACTCCTCCATCCGTTCCAAAGCAAAATCAATTTGGAAAGAAGATCATGATTTGCGTTTGGTGGAACTTCGAATGAATCTTGCATTTTGAACTTGTGCCGAATGGTCGCGCCATCAACGCTGAACTTTATTGCGAGCAACTTGATCGAGTCTACGATGCGCTGGTTGAAAAGTACCAAGTCTTGTTCGTCGAAAACGCGCTTTGTTTCAACACGACAATGCAACGTCGCATACGGCCAGAAAGACCAGCAACAAGTTTGAAGAATTGGACGGTGCCGAAGTTCTGCCGCATCCATCCTATAGTCCAGATGTTGCTCCATCTAACTACGATCTCTTCCGATCAATGCAGCACTTTATGAAAGGTCGCTGATTTGAGTCGTTCGATGCAGTTGAAGAAGCATGTCAAGAATTTTTCGATTTAAAGCCGAAGGAGTGGTACTTTGACCAAATCCAAGAGCTTGCAGATCGTTGGCAGAAGGTCGTGGACAGTGATGGTCTTTATTTTGAAGAATAGTTGTTGTTGTTTTTGAATAAATTCTTGCATTAAAAATCATTATTTTAACACGGCGCACGAAATTCTTCCTCGACGTAGTAAATTCTACAGAATCTATTAGAACTGAGTGAAATTGAGCAGAATATATTTAAACATGCGCATCCGTAACTAACAAAAGTTGATTCGCATTTTGAATAATAGCACATTTTGGTATAAAAGACGCGAAATAATACAGCTTAACATTTTTTACCAACGATTCTCGGGTATGACAACGTTTGGATCTTTTTCTTTCATTATTCAAACTCGTATTGAAGAACATATGGCCAATTTAAAATATGAATATTTTGACACTGCTAATCGACCACCACCTATTCAAGTGAAGCACTTACCAAAAGGGCGCATTGTTGCGACGACTACCCAAAAGCTATATATTTTTTAACTTTTTCCGATTATTTTTTATGACATTATTGATCGATTACCATCATTTATTCTTTATAAAATTTTGCGTGAGATATTAGATCTTGTTTTATCATACCTATTTCGAAAAAAATGATTGCCTGTTCTTGGTGAATTATGTCATACATTTCATGAAACCATGTTAATACATTTTCCGGATAAAATTGTTCCAAAAGCTCATTTTATTCGTGAATATGAGCGAATAGTACATGATTATGGTTCAGCTGCACATCAGTGGTGCTCGAGATACGAAGCATGTCATACTTATTTTAAAAAACTGGCAATAAGAACAAATAATTGCAAGAATACTCCAAAAATGCTTGCAACACATTTTCGTCTCAAGCAATGCTTGAAATTTACGCGTTTATCTCAATTTAAAAGTTTTTATTATTTTATAGGAATTAAAAAAATTCAACACTCATCTTTTAATATAGCAATGAAAAATGTTTTAGTTCATCATTTTGGTTATATTAATTTAAACAATGATTTATTTCAATGTACTAAATTAATTAATGAAAACATCGAGTATTGCAGATCAGCTGTATATATAATTAACTTGAGAAGTGATAATGAACAACCTTTATTTACTCAAGTAATTTTTATTCTCAAAATGAACGAAAAATGGTGTTTACTGGTAGATTTACTTAATACTCTATCATGCGATGAAGATTTATTTGCTTGGAAAGTCAAGTCGGTTGATCGTTATTCCATCCTTGATCCAAGTCAACTAAAATATTATTATAAAGGATTGGATATTTACCTTGTAAAAGGCTCAAGTTTTGTTTCATTCACTAGTCGCCTCACCTCATATCAGTGAGAATATGGAATAGATAATGTTTTTAAATTCATATCTTATTTTAATTTCATATAGTTTCGTCATTAAAATTTGACTAATCCTTTTCCATATTATTTCTCCTGTAGATTTCGTTGTGAAGCATTAGACTATAACAGTAGTGTAGATAGATTTCATATGAAAGAAGACTATATTTTGTATCAATTTTCATCTTTGGATAGAGATCTTCACATTTTCACGTTAGAAGCTAGAAGAACAAAATCTTTTAAGGTTTTTTTTTCTTGAGAATAATTAAAAGAAAATGGTCAAGATTTATTATCTATCACATAATATGATTTTATTTTGGATATTTGTTTTGAAATATTATTTATTTGATTGAAACAGTCATAATTATTTTCCCTATCTTACTGTACTTTTGCGTCTATTTTTTTACTTTTTCCATATGCATGCTATGGAAAAAGATGTTCATTCTATTTCACTGAATTTGTCAACTTAGCGTTTTCAAATATAGAAAAAGGCGTTTTTAAAAGCATCATTTCATCAAAATGTAACTGTTTTTATTTATCTTTTAGGATATGATATAGACGATGTTACTCTCAAAATGATGAACAATGTCGAGAAAATCTCAACAGTAATACCAAAATTTAAACAACAATTGATATTTTTAGAAGAGCGAGAAACATTATTTAAATAAAGTCATGATATTTTACCTGAATCTGCTGATTCATCATCAACCGTTACAAAAGATCCTCAATCATCATCTATTACTTCAATACATTCTCAACCATCATCTATTACTTCAATACATTCTCAACCATCATCTATTATTACAACATATTCTCAATCATCAACTTTTACTATTGAATCATCAACTGATTGTTTACCAAAATCATCTACTAATAATTCAATATCTCATCAACGTGATAATAGTGCAAATATTAATGTACCTTTTCCAGATGAATATCGTATTCCATCATTACCAAATGGTTTGATAAAAGATATTGAAGCCGGATCTTTACATACATTTGGTCCACGTTATACAAATCGTCAAACTCTTATTGATGCTATTAGCTATGATCTCATTGAAAAATACAAACTCTTGTTAGTTTTAATTTAAAACAAATCTGACAGCACGTAATAAGAAAATAGATGTACATGTTGTTATTTTTTAATCTAGCAAAAACTAATCTTTTTATTTCTTTTGGAAGAAAAATTATCAAAAACAACAACATATGCTTCTATTGGTGATGTTAAACTTTCTTTACTGTCGAAATTCCCACGATTTTATGTTTTTCTTTTATTGAGTGGGTTATCAAAATATGCACTACGTATAGTCGATAATGCATACTCTAAGAAGCATGAGAGAAACAATTTTCGTCAGAAATTGTTCTCAAAGCGTATAAGAAGATAATTTGTACTAATAGTTAAATCGAATATTGTAGTAAAGCTGTTTGACAAGATTTTACGTTTATTTTCAGTACGTATTCTAATCTGAAATGGAACAGCTTATATAAAACTAAGAATTGGTTTTAGCAAAAGCGTTTTGAATAACTTACAGAATTTCAGTCTCGATCCTTTTGTCGATTTTTTTCTTTGTAATTAGTTATCCATCATCAAAACAATTTGATAAAATTGGTAATGCAATTGTTAAATTTCTAAAATTGCCTTTAATAAAAGAAAACATAGTAAGTTCATTTAACAACTATAAATGAAAATTGTTTTTCGTCCACATAGGCGATATGGAAAGATGCATTACAAGCAAAATTAAAACGTAAACGTGCTGAAAACTTAGATAATATTATTGTTCAAGATTATCATTTAAAATATTCACGAGCAGGATCTGGACGTCCGGTTAAACGAAGACTTGATGAAACAGCTTAAAGAGATCGATATAAATCAGTAAAATTAAACTGAATATTCTTTGTTAGTTCATCTTTTTCTTTTAGATGATAATCATACAATACAACGACGACATATCAAATGATATTGAAACCAAAGTAAATCGATTACGAGATTTATCTCAAATTGATGTTGACACTCAATTAAAATTATGGAAAGAGACACTTCATTGTCGTCGTCCCTCTATACCCTAGGGCATGTACTTAACAAAGGGTACCCGAAAAAGTACCCTGCTACTAGTATGTTTTAGGAACTTTATGGTACTTGAGCACTTAAAAGTACTTTTAGGTACCTTTTAGGTACTCAGGTAGGTATAGTCAATGTCCCTAAAGCGAACGGACGATATAGGGGTGTTCATTCTAATTTTATATCAGAGCCATTTTGCCTTTTAAAATTATTATTATTATTATTCCATGGGAAAGAGCACAAAATTCTGCATCTGCTCATATAAAAATATAGTTCGTAACTAAAAAACACAGTTGAGCAATCAGCGGTATAAAGTCGAAAATTCAAAACGTTCGCTTTACGTACATGTTCACAAAGCGATTGGCCAGCAAGAAAATGTTCTTAAAGCGAACGGTCCATTGAAGAACAAGCAAAATATAAAAACGTAAACTATTTGCTCGCTCCGGTCCGTAAGCTTCAATGAATTTTCATGAAAATGATATCATTTGATTCGTCTCATTCAGCTCTATCATATTCTAGCAGTTCAGCTTAATTGGAATTAATTTCAATTTTTTATTAATTTAATAAAAAAAGACGTGCCGTTCGCTTTATGTGCACTACACATAAAGCGAACGGTCCAGCTATTTTAACTGGAGATTCACCTTACTTCAGTATTTTGTTCATTTACCATAGATTGAAATCAAAATTCACTAACACTTCCACTTGCAAAGATCTTCAGAATTATTTTGTCTACAGCATACTAGCGGTTCAATAAGAAAAAATAAAAAATAAATTCAACAAGATGATATTTGTATCAAATTTCATTTTACAGGAGAGACTGTTGAAAATTTCAAAATTATGCTTACATTTGACTCTTTACAAATCAGAACATGTTGATAGCTAGTATATGTTATATATGGTTCAGTATAAATCTATTTTTTTGTGTACTAATATCATTACTGGCAGTGTACTTAGTACAAGTATGAACTTTTATCAGAAAATTGTTTTTATCAAGTGTCATAATACACAATTCGTTAGTAACATTTTTCTATTTTGTTTATTGTTGAATATTGTCAGCCCTTTAGATACCGATGTATTTATATATGTAGGAGAAAATCGTTGTTCAGGGCAGTTAAATCTTATAATAGTAATCATGCTTAGTGTATCTATACGACCGGTTAGAAATTCCAATACAAAAAATTACTCATATCACTTTTTCAAAAATTAGATGGTTATAATATAATTAAATCGTTAAAAAGAATACTTCTGCCTTATACTTGGCCCCTGGTCATTATTATACAGTCAATTCTTTACCAGGTTTGACACATGAAGGACGAAAAGAAAAGAAGAGAAAAGAGAGGAAAGGAAAAGAAAAGAAAAGAAAATTAAAGTGACTGTCAATTATACAATCAAAATTTGATCCAAGATCAACGGATATTTTCTCTCTCCCTTATGTGACAATATCGACTGAAAAGATGTCTCTTTTTGAAACGAAGGTGACTTTTCGTCTAATTCTATGTTAAAATGATCTGTAGTTGCTTTGAAAGTGACTTTGTGCTTCAAATTCCTCTATTTTGTTTCGCGATGATCATTGATTAACTATGATCTATCTATTTGAAATATTGCGTTGTTGCCAATAAAAAGCATTTCAATCTTTTAATTGAAGTATAATTGAAAATATTTTGATCAACTACTATTGTAGTACAAAAACGTTTTTTCATTGAACTTTTCGACTACGATCAGTGCAGATATTGTTCACTGAAGTATTGGTTCTTTATTGTCTACATTATATTAGATAAAGTGTACGTTATGCTTTCAGTGTATCAATTTTTCTAGATCGTTTATATTCAAATCGATAAAAAATATTGAGTAATTCTCAAATTTTGAATGACGCGATCCTATCAAAAATATTCGATGGAAATGCTTCAACAAGCAATTGAAGCGTATTCAACTGGATCCATATCATCGATCGAAGCAGCTAAGTTCTATTCTGTACACTGAAAAAAAAATAAGCACTCTACGAAACTTAAAAGGGTTCCGAGATTTGCAACGAATTCGAAACCATTTTTCTTTATCATACGGAACCTTCGAGGTTCCTCAAGGGTTTCGTAAAGTCTCACAAAACCCTTCAAGATATCGGAGACTCTGACACAGGTTTCGTGAGACTATACGGAACTTTGAAGGTTCCGTACGGCATCGCAAAAGGGTTTCGAATTCGTTGCAAATCTCGGAACCTTTTTAAGTTTCGTAGAGTACTTTTTTTTTTCAGTGTACCAGAAAGTACTATTCGCAACCACAAACGTCGACCATCAATGAGCATCGGATCTGGCCGACCTTTTTTACTGCAAAAAAACGATGAAGATTATCTTGTTCAACTTCTACTTGATTTAGAAAAAACTGGCTTTCATTTAACAAAAAAGGAAGTAATAAAAATCGCTCATGATTATGTTCAAACACTCAAGAAAAAAACACGTAAGTTTGTTTTAAATTACCACATTTACAACCATTTTGTTAAATAGCTTTTCTTTGAGTCGTAATAAAATGACTAATTTCTATTCATGCAGTTAATACCCATTTTCTAAGCCATTATTTTATTCAACAACAGAAAAGAATCGTATTTGTTCAGGAGAATATTTTGAAAGAAAAAATTATTGAACTGTGTGGAGATCAACACGCATGACTTATACATGTCAGAGCTTCACAAACAAGCATTACTGATATTAGTTAAAGCATTTCTTTCTTTTACTAGAAACGTTGGGACGCCATTGGTTTCAAAACTTCATGTTCCGTAATAAAAATAAAATAAAATTTATCAAAGAACAAAAGTTGGAGCGCAGTCGAAAAGATGGATTTACTGAAACAGTTCGCACTGGATGGTTCGAAACTGTCTTTAATGTTTTACAAGAACACAATTTATTTGATAAACCAGCTCAAATTTATAATGTTGATGAATGTGGTTTCAACGATGATACTCAACGTAAGTTTTTCTAATCATAAGAATTTGAAGATCTAGTTTACAGTATAGTAACATAACGGTATGCTACCTACGCCAGCACAGACGAAAACCTAAAGGAACAATGAAATTCAGTACTATGGATATCATTATTGATGTACATGTGTTGAGATCAGTCAAATAGATAAAGAATAAACTTTTATACAAGTGATTCAAATAAGAAAAGATCAGGCAACAACTTGTTTACTTATTTGTCATTGAAAAAAGTACATCAACAGTAGATAGTCGATTATTATTTCATACCAAACTTAATATTTATTCACACACATACATTCCGCAGGAAGCGCAACGGCTATTCGGTTTTTTTATTAAGATTTATTCATGTATTTCAGGAGAATTAGTACTGGTTCCATCCGACACAAAAGTTAAATATGAAGAAAACGGCGGCACAGGAAAATCATTTACTACAGCAATAATAGGTGTTAATGCTAAAGGAGATATTTTGCCACCACTTACAGTTTATGCCGCGAAAAGTGTTAATCATCAATGGACTGAAGGTGGTCCTCCTCGTTCAACTTATCAATGCTCGCAAAATGGTTGGATTAATGATGATATTTTTGGTTTTTGGTTTTTAAATGTCTTCGTGGTTGAAACAATTTCATTGGCACGTCCTGTTTTGCTGGTATTAGATGGTCATCAATGTCAATTTACTATTCAAGTTATAGAAGCGGCTAAACAAAATAATATTATAATTTTATGTCTACCTCCACACTGTACTCATGGCTTGCAGCCATTGGATCTGGTCACCTTCGGAGAAGTTGTTTTATTTTAGACTTCTCTGTATTTTTTCTTTTTACTTGTTTACTCTAGCGAAAACTTCTTGGAGAAAAATTGTTTCATCATATTTTGAGCGAAGTCATCGAAAAACCATTCGAAAAATAGACTATCCTAGTTTATTGAATAAGCTGTGTGATGCAGCATTCACTCCTCGCCAGATAGTTGCAGGATTTTCTCGTTCAGGTATTTGGCCGTTCGATCGTAGTGCAATGAAAGACAAAGTTACGAGGCCATCTTTCAACCGAGTATCCAGGTTTGAAATTTTTTCTTGTAGCTTTACTGAATGAGGCGTAAAATCAGAAGACAAAAATAAAAAGAATTGCTCTGCTGAATCTCACTTTCATATGTCAGATAGTCGCTATATGACTTCATTAGAGAATCTCTTGTTGTGATTCAGAAAGTGCTCTTTTCCCTAATAAAACAATATGAAATCAATGCTATTTATTAGAATTCATATGTTTTCCCTGTTCTTGATTAGTTTGCTAGAAAAAAGGATGAATTTAGAAACGGTAATATGAAAGAATATTTTGCTTTTCATCTATAGTAATGATCATACTTCAACATTTTCTGAAAATACATCGATTCTGCCAACTTCTATTTCGAACATGTCTTTGTCAGATAGCGTCATTCGATCTTTTGACGGGTAAGAAAAAGTGTGTAATTCATTTCATCAATAAAAATTTTAATTAGTATTGCTAGCTTATCCAGTTATGATATTTCATCAACATCTTCTGTTCCTCTTCCAACAACCATCGATCAAGCCATTCAACTTCTGGATTCCGTAATATCAAATAATGATTGTGATTAGGGGTGGACCATTTTTTTTAACGGAACTTAATTAATGACATTAATTAATGACTTCCATTAGCCATTAATATTAATGGTTAATGTTTTCTAAGAAAAANTTTCATTAATCATTAATATTAATGAATTAAGTTTTTCTTAGAAAACATTAAGCATTAATATTAATGGTTAATGAGAAACATTAACATTAATATAAAATTAATGTTAATGGCCCACCCCTAATTGTGATGGTAATGAAAACAGCAGGTATGGTATTTCGAAATTATCTTCTGGATCGCGAAGCAACTATAAAACTATAATGGAACCGTGTGAGTGGACTTGATTTCTTTCTCATGTGTTGATAAACTGAGAAGAGACCATTTCTGATTTATGCGATTCTCAAACTACTCAATCTATCTTTACCAATGCTCTTTTTTGTATATTAATATATTTTATGTTACGAAATCTTTAGATTTTTTGTCACCATCAGCGCTGGTACATCACTATAATACAGATACTAATTTTTTTTCTACTATTTATAGGAGTAGACAATTGCAGCAACACCAACAATCATTTTCGAATGATGTGTATTCGACTACACCGAATGGACTTAAAGTATCTCCTGTATTTGGTATCGAGAATATATATTCGTAAGTTATATTTTTCAGAGTTACAATATCAGAATTTATTTTGTAGTGGGACTGATGTGGTACAATCACCTTCTGCCTCAAGTAGTGGCTTCTCACTTCGTCAGTCAACAATACCAGTTGTTGATTAACTTTTAGTTAGTGACGATGGCGAGTAAGAATTTACTTTGATTCTGCTATAATCACCTTATCTTCTCACTTAGATTCGACCTTCTTCAATCAAATAAACGTAGTGTCTTTCAACGACTTCCTTCATTCTCTAATACTTTATATAAAAATATAACCAACTCTGTTTTGAAAAGTAAATATTTTTTTCAAAAAAATTTAATATTTCTTTTGTTGTATTGATAAGATGAAAATGAAGACGACGATGACGATGAAGCATTTTTGATCAATTCATCCTCACGAATATATATTGAATTGAATGATATGGAATTACCGTCTGTTCAAGCTCCATCCTTTTCTACATTAGCTGCTCAAAATTCTTCACCAGTCCAACTTCTTACTGGTTCAAGTTTATCTTTACAACAAGTTATAACACCTTCAACAGCTGCTTCAGTCATTTATAATAAATTGTTGACCGAAGAAACACATCCGTCATTATCAATGCCTAAAAAATCAAGTTCATGTATCCGACAGCAAAGAAAATTTAGTGAAATCGTTACCAGTGATGAATTCTTGGAGGAAATCAAGCGAAGACGGAAAAGAAGCGCATCAAAGCAAAAGCTGCACAGCAACGTGAAGACAAAAAAGTAAAAATTTTAACAAAAAAAGAAAACACAAAGAAAAAAGACTAAGACAAACTAAATATTTTAACTGTGAATGTCCTGTGTTTATGTGTACACTTTTGATATATTGTAAATATTCTACATGTTTCCTTAAATTAATTTTATGTTTAGGATGAAATGCTCAATAGATTTTCTTCTTCACAGAAACTTCCATTTTATTAATTGAAAATACCATTCAAACTAAACTTGATCTGATGAATTTTCTTTGAGTGCTTGCTCAATATTTCACACCGTGAGCTGCTAATCAAATGCAATATTGAAAGAGGTTATGCATATACTATGCATATGAACTTGTTGAATCTGTATTGGTAGACACTAACTAGAAATCCAAACTAAAAACTATGAATAACCTATTATTTCTCTAAAACAATGCTATCATTGTAACTGCTTTTCTGGTTTTAATGTTTACAAATACAAAGTGCACGAAAAATGTGAACATAATTTTGAAATTTTCAACAGTCTTTCCTGTAAAATGAAATTTGATACAAATATCATCTTGTTGAATTTATTTTTTATTTTTTCTTATTGAACCGCTAGTATGCTGTAGACAAAATAATTCTGAAGATCTTTGCAAGTGGAAGTGT